TATTTAATATAAAATATAATATTACCTGACATTAAACTATACATTTTCTAAAGAAGTGCGCATGACACTTTTTACGAAATATTTCACAGATATTTCAAGGAAATGTGAAGAATTTAGAAAGATCGGGCACATAGATATCCGCTGCAATAAAAATACTTCGAAAAGATGCTTCTTTCAATGAAAAAAAGAAATTTTTAAAAGAAACCAGGCTTATGAATCACTTTCTACATAATTATATAAGATTGTTGGCTATTTGTTTAAATGGGGAATCTCCGTTATTAATATTGGATTTGATGGAAACTGGTGATCTGTTAAAATATTTGAGAGATTGTCGAAATTTGCAAGCGTCAGATTCATATACTCTGTATTTGCAAGATTTGCTCATCATGTGCGAAAATGTTGCGTGAGGTTGTTGCTCCTTGGGAGAGTTGCGTTTCGTACATAGAGATTTAGCGTGTCGCAATTATTTAGTATCTTCGAGAAATCGCGAGAATCGTGTCATTAAAATTGGAGATTTTGGACTAGCTAGAAATATCTACAAGGCTGATTATTATCGCGTGGTAAATACAATTATTTAAAAAAATTAATTATTAAAAAAATTAATTCTTTTGGAAATATTTTTCATTATAATAGTATTATGCATTGTTTCTTTGAGTGATATTGAATATAAATAGTTTTTATTTATATAAAGCAAGAGATAAATAAACATTTCTTACTTTGCACGTATTCTAAAAATGAACAGCTTGTACCAAAAAATTAAATTTTTGTTAAAATCTTGTTTTAGAAAGGAGAAGGTTTGTTTCCTGTTCGCTGGATGGCACCAGAATCATTGATGCTCGGAATATTTACTTCTCAAAGTGATGTTTAGTCATTCCGGGTATTAATGTTGGATATCAATTGGTGTAAGGAAAACATATAGTTGTCTCTCGAAGAAGAAATATTTGCAATTAACAATTATATATTTTTTTCTTAAAAATAACTATGTATTTTTCTTTACCAATTGATTCCTCTCATTATTTTGTATATAAAAGTATTAAGGTAAGATAATTGAAAAATGAATATTTTACAAGATATTTTACGGCTTATGTAAAATTAAGAGATAGTTTCACAAGCCTCATAACTCGGAAAATACTTAATGAAAACTAACTTAATTGTAATGTTTTGGAAAGCTCTCGAGATGAGCTGCAACAATATGTAATAAAAAGTAGATAGTTCCATTAAAAAAATTGAAGTTAACCTTCACGTGACCTTCAATAACAAGTCAAGGCCAAATTAATGACACTATATTACGTTCTCCTTGAAACCAACTTTTATCTGAAACATTTTTATTAAAAATGCTTCGTTAAAAAATTATCGAGATGCGTTTTTTAAAATGGGATACCTTGTATATATGTGTGTGTGTGTGTGTGTGTGTGTGTGTGACGACACCCTGTGTGTAGTGTTACACTAACGCATTCGCCGCACCGACCGGCTACCCAAACAAACTCGACGCCTATGGACGCCCCCAAGCGTTTCCACCGATGGGCTCTCCCACTCGTGATTCGCCCCATGCGGCGCGGTCGTGGCGCGAAAGTTGGGAGGCCCAGCGGCCGCGCCAGATATATAAGCGAGCCCGAGCGAGGCTTCGATTCCTATTCTCATCCGACATCCGATCAGCTCGCAGCTTCAGAGAGCAATCGAGGAATCCTTACGACTTCCTAGCAATCGATCCTAACCGTTCTTGTCAACGGAGACGGGTACAACCTCTCCGCAGCCAGGGTGCCCCCGGCATTCGACAATCCTGACTATACGTGAATCCAGTTCTTCGTGGAATACTCGCGTCCGATCGACTCTGTTTATAACTCACGCTCGTGCCGCAATCCTAGACACGCGGTCAATTCGCGCCGCATCGCTCTCGGCAAGAGCCCCTGTAAGACCGCGCGTAGCGAAAGAAATCCGACTTGCAGAATACCGGCGTCCATGATCGATAACTCCGACCGATTAGGCTAAGCTATCAGTATATTTCTGCGATCAACGTGCGACACAAGTCTATTGTATTGTAATCATCTTTGTTAAAGCTTAAATATATTCTGCTTTTCTTAAAAGTCAAAGTGGAGTTCGCAATCGTGCGGAAGAAGGATGGGAAGCACCGGTTTTGTATCGACTTCCGCAAACTCAATATCGCTTCTGAAAAGGATACTTATACTCTGCCGAACATCACGATCACTTTGAACAACTTACAAGCTCGGTACTTGACAATATTAGATTTGCAGAGTGGCTAGTGGCAAGTACCGCTGACAATCGAGAGCCGACCAGCAACCTGCCTTCACTGTACCGAGGGGAAGGGCCTCTTCCAGTTGACCGATGCCCTTTGGCCTACACTCAGCCCCAACTGTATCTTCCAGAGACTGCTGGATTCGGTGATAGGCCTGAGTTAGAATCTAATGTTCTCGTATACCTAGACAACATTGTCATCGCCAATCGAATTTGGACGAACACCTTCGGCACCTCGGAAAAGTCTTCCAATTATTACGAAAGGCGAAACTACGCTTGAACCCGGAGAAGTGTCATTTCTGCCGCGATAGCCTTCGCTACCTAGGCCGTGTCGTGAATCGACAAGGCATACACATCGATCCGGAAAAAGTAAATACCATAACGGGATGGCCGGCATCTATTATTGTGCGCAAAATTTCAAGCAATTTCTGGGTATGGCTTCCTAGTACCAAAGGTTCATTTCAAATTTCTCTGCTGTGGCTGCACCATTCACCGCGCTCACAAAGAAGAATGCCCGATGGTCATGAGGAGACCCTGAGGACTATGTCTTCCGTCGCCTAAAGGAGGCTCTGACTATAACATCGGCATGCCCGGATTTCGCTGTGCCGTTTCAACTACAGACCGACGCCAGCTCTCACAGCCTAGAGGCCGTATTAACACAACACCAAGCTGAAGGGGAGCGTATTATCGCATATGTCAGTCGAACTCTCAACGCTGCAGAATGAAATTATAGCGCCACGGAGTTAAAGTGTCTCGCCATAGTCTGGGGCATTTGTCGGATGCGGGATTATTTGAAGGGATACCGATTCACCATTGTGACCGAGCTGCAGCAATTCCATTTTGATATCCGGTGCGAAGAAGAGGGGTCAGAATCAAATAGCAGGTGTACTTTCTCGGGAATCGCAACTCAACGCAATCAAACGCGGCGTGACATTTCCTTAATACTCGCCACCTTCTTAACGAGGTGCCGACCAACCGATCATCCGGACTTTGAAATATGGGATGGCTAGCTCTTTCAGCACATCCTCCACGATCTGGACTTCCGAGAGACACCGACCATCGAACAATGGAAACAATATGTTCCCCGGGATCAGCGACCAGACGTACTGCAAAGGTTGCACGACGATCCGACCGTCCATCACTTGGGCGTGGCAAAAATTACCGCACGCATAGCCCGGCTTTACTATTGGCTAGGAATGTACCGAGAAATTGCCCAGTACGTGCGAAGCTGCTTGAATTGCTTGGCTCACAAAATGTCCCAACAAAGGCCCGCAGGGAACCTACACGCTGCACCAGTCGCCGTTCCTGGCAACAAGTGACCATGGATTTGATTGGACTTTTGTCGCGATCCGCTTGCGACTATACACTATATCTGGGTCCTGACCGCACACGAATGCTTCACTAAGTGGATAGAAATGGTGCTTCTACGGCGGGATACTGTCACGAACTTGGCAACGGAGGTAACACGCCGCATTATTTATTGACACGGATGTCTGAATCTAACCAGTTCATCCCGGACAACAGTACCCAGTTTACCTCACACCAATTCTACTGTCCTCGTTCGGTATCAAACACCGGATCTCGTCCGTTTACGCTCCGCATTGCAATCCCGTGGAGAGAGCGAACCGATCGCCACTCACCATTAAAACGATCGCTTAGTACGTCGAAGACCAATACCGAGATTGGGACCAACGTATCGATGCGTTGCAGTTTGCCATCACAGCGCCATGAGGCGACGGGATAGTCCGGCATTCCTTGTACATAGGCGTGAACTAGCATCATCGCATCTCGTCGACCGATGCCCTGCTCAGAATCTGATTACTCCAGAGACATACTGACAGCGTCTAGAAGAAGCCTATGAAATTATCAGGATTCCCTTGACGCGGGTGTTTCAAAGACAAGAACGCCACTACAATTTCTGACGATGCGATTGGTGCCTACGTCTGGAGGATAAGGTGTGGAAGCAAGAACGGCCCCTGTTAAATTGCGACGAGGCATTTAATGTCAAACTCGCTCCACGATTCGCGAGTGCGATAGAAATCCACCGTAATTTCTCCATCGTAATTTCTCCAGTAATTGTGGATTTACAAGACGAGCAAGAAAAATGGTACCGGCATATTCACGTACAAGATTTAAAATCAGTATGTACCGGAGGACTCCGACAGCAACGGAGAATCCAACGGAGGCGCTACCTAGCCACACTCTATACGACTCGCAAACAAGTGGAGACAGCGCCATCTCCTCCCGGCATGACGAGTCTGGGCCCTAGCGTGAGTCTCCTACCAGGACTTTGCCAAACAACTCTGTCCTCCCCACTACCGACGCTCCCGGATATATAAGGCATGAGCGCCACTGCAGTCACCAGACATTTGCCAGCATGAGTTGGCAGTTAATGTTAAAATTATTCGGAGAGATAAGCTCTAACGAGGAGAAGAGCGCGCCGCCGCTAACACCTCAGTTAACTACCAGGTTATCGACCATCGAACGACCGACAACTAGCCGCTGACAATTGGACCGCCGGCCGCTGAACAAGCGACATTAGGACAGGCGACCACCGAGCAGCCGATCGCCGATCACCAGGCAATCAACTCTGGCAGTGACGCCCGCAGCACCGGATCCCGACGCCTTCCGGCGACGAAGTAAATAACCACCACACCTGAATACAACGATCCGATGCGACAAATCGTCAGAAGACGATTTTCCTCTCCACCCTGCCTGGACTCACACCCTAATGCTGAGGACGAACAATGACGGTGGCGAGCAACACTTCCTATACTAAAACTCATCATCAATCACCAAGCAGCCAACAACGAGACGTCGGGTCACCTCTGGCCACCAAGACACCATCAATGACGACCAGGCCGCTGACAACGATTGGACCATCGATCACAATCGGTCCGCTAACAACCAGACCTGATAACAGGCGGCCGATGACCGGATCGCCAGTTATCAGGCCAACGACCGGGCCGCCAACAACGAGGTCATCGACTTCGATCCAATTGATTCTCGTTGACGCATCCCCGGTGCCGGTCCGGTTAAAAGACGGAGATCCCATTCGCGAATGCAGTAATTGGTTGCAAATACAGGATCCGCGACAGGCCAGAATTTGGATCATCCACTTCAACATCCACGGCCGATCAATCCGCCATCTAACACAATCGTCCTGAAAAGGAGAGTGGTATGATGACACCCTAGTGTTACACTAACGCATCCGCCAGGCTGACCAGCAGTCTAAATAAACTCGGCGCCTCTGGGCGTCCCCAAGCATTTTCACCGATGGGCTACTCCCCTCGATGATTCGTACGACGCGACCCGACCGTGACGCGAAAGTGGGGAAGCTCAGCGGTCGCGTCAGACATATAATATAAGCGGGCTCGAGCGAGGCTCCGATACTTATTCTCATCCGACCAGCTCACAGCCTCAGGGAGCAATCGAGGAATTCTACGATTCTTATGATTTCTCAGCCACTGATTCTGACCGTTCCTGTCGATGGAGACTGGTGCAATCTCTCCGAAATCAGGATGCCCCTGGCATTCGACGATCCTGACCATATCTGAATCTAGCTCTTCGCGGAATACTCGCGTCCGATCGACTCTGTTTATAACTCACGCTCGTGCCGCAATCCTAGACACGCGGTCAATTCGCGCCGCGTCGCTCTCGGCAAGAGCCCCTGTAAGACCGCGCGTAGCGAAAGAAATCCGACTCGCAGAATACCTGCGTCCACAATCGATAACTCCGATTGATTAGGCTAAGCTATCAATATATTTCTGCGTTCAACATGCGAGTCTATTGTATTAATTATCTTTGTTAAAGCTTTAACATATTCTGGCTTGCCAGTTCCCAGGATTCAGGAGTCGGAGGAGGGGGAGTCGAACTTTCGAGACTCTTGACTTTTAAGATTGATGTAAAAAATTTATACGTGATAAGTGTTATAAATTCAAAACTAATTATTATAATTATATATTCATAACTATAGTTATAAAGAATACTATTCGTGTTTACTTTTTTACTCATAACTTTTACAATCAGTTTGTAATTATCGGTCATATATAATGTCGAAAATTAATTATATTTCTAAATTGAAAAAATATTATTTATACATATATATTACTGTTATTACTGTAATATATATATATATATATATATATATATATATATATATATAGAGTAGGTATATGTAGTAATATATATATATATATATATATATATATATATATATATGGTATATAGTAGGTATATATAGTAATATATATATATATATATATATATATATATATATATATATACATATATATATATATACACACACCCACACAACAATGCAGTATCTCGCAGTAATCTGAGCACATTTGCCCGAATAATTCTAATCTTCATATTATAGTATACTAATAATGATATATCCACAAGTTATGAATTTTAAGTAAAAATACAAGTATAAAAATGCAAAGAATTATTGCGCGCAAATCACAATATTTTAATATTTTAAATAATATTATATATTAAACAAAAGGAGAACTGCATAGACCAGATTTCGCGTCTTATTGACTGTTATTTGTCAATTTGTCAATTAAACTTTAATTATAGGATTGTGTAACACATTGCATATGACGAGAGCTAAATCATCGAATCGAAATTAGAAATGTTGTGAGCACTATTGTGGAAATTCAAGTTAGTTCATCAATAAAAAAGTTTGACTGGTTAAGCTGGATTCACAAAAATTTATTCTTACATAATAAAAAAAGAATTATAAAAAAATATAAAAAAGAATATAAAAAATAAAATATAAAAAAAGAATTCTACATATATTCTTAATATATTTCTTTTTCATAATACGATATTAACATTTCACTTCTTTTAATCTTATAATATCACAATTATGTCATATCATCATAGAAAAAAGTTAAGAAATTATTTATGTATGATTTTAAAATACGTATATTATAAATCATAAATTTTATTATACATACTACCGACTAGAAAATACTTCGCATAACAGCGATATCAGTAGGATAATTTTTTGCCAAGCTTTCAGTTAATACGTAATAAGTACCTTCGAAATGAGAAAAATATCTTATCTGTATATTATTGATCTATTTTGGACAACTTGATACAGTATCTAAAATTAAAAAATTATATATTATATATATTTATGCGCATGTATAAAAAGATGAAAAATCATATAAAATATATACATAATTTATAAGCAGAGCTTAGATCTCGGTGCCGTTTTCTCCACTACAAGTGCATTCTATTAGCGGTCAAGCGCTGCGAAAAGCAATACTGTCTATGTCAGTCTAGTGATAGTAGCAAAGAGGGTTTAGAAAATATACAGGGTGATTCATTTTAATCTTAACAGGCAAATATTTTGAAAAATATACGAGATACAAAAAAATGTTTCAGACAAAAGTTATATGGATTTAAAGGAGACATAAGGTGATGTTATTAATTTGACCTTAAATAGTTACTTAAAGGTCACGTGAAGGTCACCCTCAATTTTTTAAATGGAACTGCCTTTTTTACTAAAACTAACTTTTTATTGCATATTCTTACAGCTTATCTCGAGAGCTTTCCAAAACACTAAATAAAATATTTCTTTATTGAATACTTTTCGAGTTATGAGGCTTGAAATCGTTTCTTAATTTTACATAAATCGTAAAATATCTTGTAAAATATTCATTTTTCGATTATCTTACCTTAATACTATTATGTACAAAACAATGAGAAGAATCAATTGGTGTAAAGATAACACATAGTTGTTTTTAAGAAAAAATATGTAATTTGCAATTAACAATTCCATATTTTTTTTTAAAAACAATAGTATGTTTTCTTTACACCAATTGATTCCTCTCATTATTTTGTACATAAAAGTATTAAGGTAAGATAATCGAAAAATGAATATTTTACAAGATATTTTATAGTTTATGTAAAATTAAGAAATGATTTCAAACCTCATAACTCGAAAAGTACTTCATGGAAAAATAATTCATTATAGTGTTTTGGAAAGCTCTCGAGATAAGCTACAAGAATATATAATAAAACGTAGGCAGTTCCATTTAAAAAATTGAGGGAAGCATACTTTTGAAGCATACTTTTGCCTTTTATGAGCAGTAATGCCAGAAAGAGGATACTGCTCGCACGCATCAATCAGAGAGAGTCACATATATGTGCTACGCAGAATGATTGTATGCGTATGAACCGCATCCTTTTCTTGACATTCCTATTTATCAGTTTAATTTCTTTTCAGACAAATTGAATTTAAAATAATTTATTTAATAATCTTTCTTGTTGAGATTCAGAATATTGAACAGATTATTAGAAATTAAGCGGATAAATGAGAGAAATAGCCCATTTATTGCGTATATTAAAGTATTCCTATTACCGAATGTTGATAATCTATATAGAATAAATCAAGTTATCTTTTAGTCATCATATGGACAAGACTAAAAAATCACTGAATTCGAGTCATGAGACGACTTTTAGCCATCTTTCTGTCGACTTAACGATGTCAGTAAAGATGTCTGTGACAAAAAAATGTCCAGTTTTAGTAGTACTTTTAGACGACTTGGTGTTGTGTGGAAACTTACATAATTTATATATTTAGTTTTGATATTTAATATTATCAATAAGTGATGTAATTGATAAACGCCTAATTCGGAAAACATAATTTTTTCAAGAATATACATAATTTGTTTCGATTCTGTTGGTTTCTAGAAATTATCATTGATGTTGTGTTCTCTCTAAAAAGTAAATTGCTCAGAAGATATCGAGAATGCAGAATGCTTAGGATATTTAGCTTTTAGATGGGATAGTACTTCTTGCACAATATTATTTAGACATGTATCAATGATTGAGTAAGTTACATAAGATTGAAGATATTGTGCGATGATAGTAACTTGCCTTTCTAACTTTTTCTTTGACATGTATATAAATATGTTTTGTTTGTATATTAATCGATACTGTTTTTTCCAATGATAAATTAGGCCAAAATTATACATAACTGTCAAATTGGAATTGTGCCTGAAAAAATTTACATATTTTTTAATTGTGCAATATTTACTTATTTTATTTTATAACGTTAATGGCAATTTTGTTTATTAAATTTTACCGTAATAGTAATTGTGTTGAAATAATTCTGTTTATATCATCCAAGAGAAAACGGCTATTGCTGATATTTGTTGTTTAACATATTTCTGAAGAATTCCTTTTTAATTCAAAATTAAAGACTTTTTTAATTAAAAATTAAATTATTTAACATATATATTATATATAATATATATATATATATATATATATATGTATATGTATGTTAAAAAGTATATTGTCAAAAAGATATATATATATATATATATATATATATATATTTAATTACACGCATACACACATACACATATTCAAAAGAAATTATAAATAATAGTATAGATTTTTCTATTTAATAAAGAAATATATGTGAAAGAAATATATATAAAGGAGGAAAGTCATTTATATATTATATAACGTATTTTTTTGGTTCCCACAGGATTTTCAAAAAACTATTTTTTTTGTATTTTATGATCATAGAGATGTTAAAAATAACCATTAGAAAACTATAAAAATCATTATAAATAACCATGAGAAAAAAATTCGATCCATAAAATCAAAATTAATTATTAATTTAGATGTAATTATCTAACAATAAGTCATTTTATAATTATCCTTATCTAAGTTCTTCTCATAATTAATAAGTAAGACTAATAAAATAATATCGCTTATTATATGCTTTGCCATCATATTAATATAATTTTAAATTATAGCATGTATTATCTTTAAATAGGTGAATATATATACAGGGTGAGCCATTTTAATTTATCCACCCCAATAACTTGTTTATATTTGAATGTACAATAAAATGTTTCAAATAAAAGTTGCTTGACTTCGAGGGTGACAGAAGATGGGTGGCAAAAATTTGACCTTGGATAGTCATTTAAAGGTCACATAAAGGTAACCTTCAATTTCTTAAATGAAACTCCCTATTTTTCATTGCATATTCTTGTAGCTTATCTCGAGAGCTTTCCAAAACACTACAATTAAATACCTTTTCATTAAGTACTTTTCGAGTTATAAGGAAAAATTGAAATAATTTCTTAATTTTACATAAACCATAAAATATCTAGTAAACCAATCATTTTTCGATTATCTTACCTATATACTTTTATGTACAAAATAATGAGAGGAATCAATTGGTGTAAAGAAAACACATAGTTGTTTCTAAGAAAAAATATGTAATTTGCAATTAATAATTCCATATTTTTTCTTAAAAACAACTGTATGTTTTCTTTACACCAATTGATTCCTCTCATTATTTTGTATATAAAAGTATGAAGGTAAGATAATCGAAAAATGAATGGTTTACTAGATATTTTATGGTTTATGTAAAATTAAGAAATTATTTCAAGCCTTATAACTCAAAAAGTACTTAATGAAAAGGTACTTAATTATAGTGTTTTGGAAAGCTCTCGAGATAAGCTACAAGAATATGCAATGAAAAATAGAGGGTTTCCATTTAAGAAATTGAAGGTAACCTTTATGTGACCTTCAAATGACTATCCAAGATCAAATTTTTGCCACCCATCTTCTGTCCCCCTCGAAGTCAAGCAACTTTTATTTGAAACATTTTGTTGTACATTCAAATATAAAAAAGTTATTGGGGTGGATAAATTAAAATGGCTGACCCTGTATATAAAATACTATTAATTGTTTTCAGATTTAAGCTCCTATATCGCATCGAAGTTGTAATAGCTTTACTCTAGATACACATAATATTTACAATTATACAAAGATACAATTATACAAGATACTATTATATAATAATGTTCATTATACAACATCACGAGGTTTCAAAAATCGTATAAATGTTACCCATGATTAATCGTGTTAGACAGAGGAAAAAGAACGAATCGAATTGTGTGCAATTATTAATAGAAAAAGCTTAAAAGATAACGTAGTAATTAATATGTCCAAAAAATTTAAAATAAAAAATTTGAAAAACAAAATAAAAAAATTAATAAAATTAAAAAAATAATAAAACTTCTTCAGTGTTCATAGTAGGGCTAGTGATGTACTTTGAAGGCTTCGACATTCGAACTTTGAAGCTTCGAAAATTCGAAGCTTCGATATTAAAATCTTCGAAGATCGAAATTTCGTTCGGAGTTTCGAAGGTTCGAAATAATAATAGTTATAATACCGCGATACATTTATAAAATTATATAACTGTTGAGGATTGCTAAATAAACTGGCTGTAACTCTTTTCACAGCTTTATTCTTTCGCCACACGCCTCCTTTTTCTATGCACTTCGATCTTCTATTCTGCTATCTTGAATCTTCTCGATACTCGCTTCGCTAATTCATTCTATTCTCTTGACAATAGATGGCAGTCGCAACAATGACAAAATCTGAATAAAATATATTCTATTATATGTTTTACTATTTTTATTTTTATTTTACAATAATATCAATTATAAAAAAATGCGCTTTAGGAATTAAAGGAATCCTAATTCTAATTTAATGTAGATTATAAATAAATAGCATAATTTATTGTACTTGGCTAATTGTGTTGACTTCATATTTGTTTTTTAATATTTATGTACCGCGTTGTTGTGATTTAGTTTCAGTTAATAATAATTTTCTAAATAATAACCTTCCAAAGTTATACATTCAGAATTACAAAATAAAAGTTTTAGAAATGAGAAATAGCAAGTCAAAAATAAATGCTCAAAGTTATTTTTAATTTATAATTTTTTATGTTTAGAATTCTAGAAATATATATTCTTTTTTTCTCGATAAGTATTCATAATAAAATTGTGAAAAGCAAATATTTGTAGGTCATGTGATGTTATGTTGCTTTTCGGAACTCATGATTCCGAATTTTTAGGAAATATAAATTGCAAAATAAGAATTTTGGAGTTAGTGTGTAATTGTCGAACGAATAAAACACACGCATCTAAGCTAATAACCACGTAAATTTTTTTATCTCTTTTTGGAAATATTTATTTTATCATTACTGTTGCGTAGAAAGTGACGCATATAAATTATTGAATTATTTGTAGACATATATAGTAATTATTTGTTCCATATTTCTCTCCAAATATTATATTTTCTTAAATCTAATTATATTATATACTCTTCTTATATATATATATATATATAATATATATATATATATATATATATATATATATATATAATATAACCTACAATTAATTTTTTGAAAAAATTACAAAATTATATATTTTATTTTATTCTTAAAAATAAAAATACATAATTACTTATTTTAATAAGAATTTATTTTAAAATACAAAAACATTCGTTGAAACATTTTCAGAGGCAAGACAACCTCGCTGTGACGAAACAATATTGCCTGCAGCTGAAAAAATTCTCTCCGATGCAACGGATGTCGCGAGAAAACATAAATATTTTTTCGCCAACCGAGTTAAGTATGGAAATTTTTTTTCATGTGATTTCTATCATTGAAAAGGGTCTATATTAATATCAATTTGTGATTCACAAAAATATAATTAAATCTGCTGAGTTGCGGATGTTAAATATGTATTTATACAGACTTTTTAAAAAGAAAGTCTAATGCACTATTTGACAATTGACATTTATGAACTTAATTCTGAGTCTACTGAAGTAAAAGATTTTACTTCTAATTCGATCATTTCTCTAATCGCAATTCATATCACATACGAACGATATCACATATTTCACAAGTTACTGACTGGTCAGTAGCTTTCAAACAATACTGCCATGCCCAGCTCTTCATTTTCTCAATTTGCTAATATTCACACTAATCTTGATTGCAACTTTATTTCATTTGAAGATTTACACGAATCTATTTCAAAGAGGCTGTACAACGATTTGTGTACAATAATCACAAGCAACTGAGACTGCTCTCAAAATGTCTTGTCATGTCTCTCTTACAAAGGAGAAGAAAGACAATCACATGATAACGCGTGTAAATAAATATCGTGTGATATACGAGGTGTGATATGTATGCCATTCAAGAAATATATATATATATATATATATATATATATATATATTTATTTATTTATAGGGCTTTTAAATAATATAAAATAATTGATATTATTGTAAGATAAACATAAAAATAGTAAAACATATAATAGAATATATTGTAAGCGATAATGGAAATGCGAGAGAGTTAACAAGAGTTGAAATATAATATCGCTGTATTATACCGTTTGTTTCGAAGATACTTTGTTTCGTCTTGAGACAGGGGCAGTCCACTAGATCGAACAGAAGACGTGGCATTCGCATTTCGCTTCTAGACAAGTAACGAACATTTATTCCGCGCGATAATAGCTTGTGACTAACAATAAGATCAATCTAACGGATTCACATTTCGCCGATTACAGTTTATCAGATGGGATTCGAGCATCTTTACAAATTACCTTAAAAAAGATAAGCCCCTTTTAATTGTTACGGTGCGAATTTGAGTTGCAAGCGCGCGGGTGTGGACATAGAATTGTTTCTGGTGTGATAAACTCTTATGTACTTCTCTTATGCGGTCGTCGCGTGAACGCGGAGTTGTGTGACAGTATACTATTTAACTTTTTACAAGAGACACTGAATAACGGACCGGGTGTGGAATTTGGAGGCGAATTTATCATGGTTAAGTTGAAGGAGACTCTTCGCGAGCGGGGACTAGAACAAAAAGCGAATTAATTAAACGATTAAGTGAGAATAATCCGAAAGCGTGGGAGAAGAGGAAAGCCATTTTGCAACTACTACTACGACAAGATGATTCTTGCCAATTTGATACTGATTGCAGAGGACGAGATCCTAGATTATATTATCGAGGGCATGATCAGCAATTGCAGGCTCGCATGATGAATTATCAAACAGGAGCAGAACTTTAAAAGTATTTGAGAAGGTCCAACCTGACTATAAGAGATCGAATGACGCTAGAATGAAGAAAAATGGGACGAGAACGATAAGCGGAAAGACGAAGATGCCGTTGATCAAGGGAAAGCCGACCAAATGTTACAAATGTTTGAAGATAGGACACATCGCGCCGCAATGCAAGCGGGTACCGATGAAGAAAACATGTTATATGTGCGGATCGACGGAACACTTGGCTAGAGAATGTCCGAAACGAGGTCATCTTTGACACTGGAGACATCTAAGGACTTTATATTAAAAATTTTATAAAAATAAGAATATATGAAAAATTTATAAAATTTTAAGTTAAAAAATTGTTAAAGAAGCAAAAGAAAACATTAAAAAATACATACAGAATGGGTAAAACGTTTCAAAAAGCATTTATTTCTGAATATTTCATAATTATAATTCAAAAATAATTTTGTATGTGTGAACATATATGTTAATTAACTCACATTTATTTAGAATATTTTCATCATTTTTTATATAAATTCGCATTTACATGTAATTTCAAATGTATTTGCAAATGTAATTTCCAAGCTTTGAGTTAACTTCATTATCATTATTAAAAAAATAAATAACTCGAGAAAATTCTGTATATACAACTAACTATATATTAAAATTGTTTTATAAGACAGAAACAAAAAAAATTTACAAAAATTCACTTTTCCAAAATCAGTTTCTTTTAAAACTGTTTTGTACACAAAAATATTTATAGCTTCGACATTTATAGCTTCGACATTTTAGTATTGGATTTTCGTCATGAAATGTTCTAAAGAATCTGTTATTAAAAGAAAGTATGGTAGTTTTAAAATATTCTGTACATATATGGCATTTCTATCTTTGATCCCGCGAAAATAATGGATATAACGGGACATATCGTGTTAAAACACGTTATGGATAATGAATAGAACTTTTCGGGGCAATGTGCCCCAGATTATTGTAGTCATTGTAGTCTTTCTGCTTGATTTTGTGCCTTTGCGAAATGATATATTATTGTTCGATATTCTTTATTAATGTAGGATGTTGTAATATATTTTAAATAAAATTATAGGATTCAGTGACGGAGAACACTCGGGTAAATAACACTACCGTTTATTAGTTAAAATTATGAAAAGATACATCAAAAGAAAATGTTGGGACACGTTATCACCGTTACAATCATCGTTAATTTCGAGGCGAGTGTATTGCTCGACGTCTGTGCAGCAACTGACTCAAGCGATCGAAAAACATAAATATAAATATAAAACAACTCGCGACAATACGCCAATTTTTACATCCTACATTCAGCCGTCCTGCACCCACATACGGCCTCGTATATGTTTTTTTTCGTGTTCTCGTGATTTGTTCCGACAATTAATTCTTTCCTTTCTCCTCCTCGTCGTCTTCACCATCGACGAACTCGATCTCACTATCCTCGTTAAGCCACAACTTCATAAAATCGGCTGTCGTCGACGTTTGCTGTGATCCTTCGTGCATTCCGACTTTGTCTACTAAATAACGATTATTACGTAGGACTTTCGCGATTTTGTAGGGTCCGAGATATTTAAATGCCAATTTTAATCCAGAAGCCTGCTGTGTCCGCTTGATAGCGACCAAGTCATCTTAACGATATAATCGCGCTTTTTTACGTTTTTTATTAAATACACAACGATTTTCTTCCTGTATCTCGATACTTTCTTTTGCGCGGACTCTCATATCGTCCCGATCTTCCTGGAAGGAAGTCACCCATTCGTTCTCAAGCAACTGGCGGATGTTATCATTGTCACGTAAGCATGCATGAGTTCCAAACATTAAACGAAATGGTGTAGTTGCAATACTCCGGTGCATTGTCGTATTTAAATATAACTGAACAGTATTCAAATATTTGTGCCATTCTCCAGGCTTTGAAGCTGTCATCTTGGTCAAAAGCGGTATGAGCGTTCTATTCACTCGCTCCACCTGTCCATTTGCTCTGGGAATTCCCGTCGTCGTCAATATATGCTGAATACCTTCACTTTTACAATATTCTTGAAAATTCGTTCGATGTAAACGCAGTGCCCCGATCAGAAATAATTCTACGTAGATTGTCAAATATATTCGCTTGTTTTCGGAGACGATCAACAACCTCGGCCGTGCCTGTAGATTTAGTCGCGTACAGCCACGTAAATTTACTAAAACTATCTATTGTTATGAATATATGTTTATAATTCTTCTTCGTTGACGCTAGTGGGTCCAAATGATCAACATGGAATGTGTCGAGCGGTACTTCACCCTTACTGATGATCGACAGAAAATCTTCTTGTTTGCCCTGCTTCTTTTCGGCCAAAATGCAGTCAATGTAATTTTGAACGATCCTCTTGACTTTCTGACGCAAGTTCCGGATATAATAATCTCGCTTCACGATCGCTTCTGTTTTAGCTATCGAAAAATGTCCTTTCTCATGTGCTCGTCTTATGATTTGCGAATGCATCGACTTCGGGACTAGACAATAATCATTGTCGCCCTCCTTGAACAGTAGTCCACCTTGAATGACGTAACTGGGATCCTTCTGGTTTTCAATTCGTTGAATAATTTTTCTGATTTCTTCGTCATCCTGAGCTTTTCTAAGTCGGATAGTTATCTCGTCATCGCTCTTACTAATTAATAGACATACTGGCAGTGGGTTTCTACTCAACGTGTCGACGTGAGTCATATTTCTTCTCGGACGGTGCTCAATTTCGTAATTAAATTCCTCCAGCAAAAGTGCCCATCTCGCTACGTGAACGCATAAATCTTTCTTTGACATAGTCAAAGTGAACGCACGACAATCGGTAACGATTTTGAACGCTATGCTTAGCAGGTACACTCTAAATTTTTTTAGCGATTTCACAATGGCCAAAACTTCTAGCTCGTAGCTCGTGTATTTTTTCTCGGCAGGAGTCGTTTTTCCGCTCGCATAGTATACTGGGTGCATTGCACCGTCATCACTGCTACGCTGTAGCAATATCGCGCTATAACCATGTCTCGATGCATTGGTATGCAGCTCAGTCTCTGCGCCGACTCTATACAGATTTAACACCGGTTTATTGATTAACATAAGTTTCAATCGTTCGAAGGAATCCCTTTCACATGCATCGAATTTAAATTTTGCTTCGGTTTTTAATAAATTCGTTAACGGTCTTGCAATCAATGAATATCCCGCAATGAATTTCCGAAAATATCCCGTCAGTCCCAAAAACAATTGGACTTGTCGAACGGTAGTAGGCATAGGAAAATCTTTTACAGCACTCGTCTTACGTTCTGAGGGTTTGATACATCCATTCTCGATCACGTGACCTAAATATTCGATTCTTGTTCGTAATAAATTGCATTTTTTCCAATTAATAGCCAGACCGTTCCGACTGGCGACGCTTAATACACATTCAAGATTTCTTAGACCGATCTCACAGTCAATCGAGGGCACTATTAAATCATCCATATATGCTAGAACTACTCCTTCACGAATGAAGTCTTTAAATACAACGTTAATGAACTTTTGAAAAATTGCAGGTGAATTACAGAGACCGAATGGTACCCTGAGAAATTCGTAATACCCATCGGGAACTATGAAAGCGGTATATTTCCTACTCGATTCGTCCATCGACACATGAAAAAATCCATTTCTGAGATCTAAAGTACTAAATACTTTCGCACTCTGCAACGCGTCTAAATGGTCTTCTATGAGCGGAAGAGGATATCTTTGACAACCTTTTTATTAAGCAACGGAATCGACGCAAAGTCGACCTGTTCCGTCTCTTTTTTTAACCAAAACAACTGGACTTGCATATTCGGAAACGGAAGATTGCACAATTTCGTCTCTCAATCACTCATCTATCTGTGCATTAACTTCGTTTCTTTCAGTCGCCGACAGTCTTCTCGCTTTTTGATAGATCGGTTCGTCGTCTTTTAAAATAAGATTCATTTTTACACTAACCTTTTGAGTTCAAGTTTATATTGATCTACGAGACGCTGCATCGTTCGTTTAAGGACATCGTCATGCACATGAGACAAATCCACGTCAACCTCGCGATCAAAATCTACTTTAATCTGATAGATCTCCGCGAAAGCGCCATCGTCAGTCAATGGCTTAACAGTAGCTTTTCCAAGCTTCATATTTAACTCAATGGTATCGAGAAAATCTCGACCAATCAATAATTTGCTTCTCAGGAGATCATTTGAAACAACGTTAATCGAAACTCTAAATGAATTCCCATCGACTGTAAGTTTCGCCCAGAAACGTCCCAGCGTCACGTTTTCCTCAGTACCGACACCACGAAATGGCATTACAATATTTTCAAGCCGCGGCGCACCAATTCTTATACAGCGTGTGTCAAAAGTTCCGGGACGGCTGGATAATTTGAAAAATACGCATCACAGAGGAAAATGACTTAGACAAAAGTTGTAGGATTTTTCCCGGGCAATCCGACGGTGACCTTAGATTTGACCTTGGATAGTCATTTGAAGGTCACATAAAGATTACCTTCAATTTCTTAAATGGAATCCCCTATTTTTCATTGCATATTCTTGTAGCTTATCTCGAGAGCTTTCCAAAACACTATAATTAAGTACCTTTTTATTAAGTACTTTTTGAGTTATAAGGCTTGAAATAATTTCTTAATTTTATATAAACCATAAAATATCTAGTAAACCATTCATTTTTCGATTATCTTACCTTCTTACTTTTTATGTACAAAATAATGAGAGGAATCAATTGGTGTAAAGAAAACACATAGCTGTTTCTAAGAAAAAATATGTAATTTGCAATTAACAATTCCATATTTTTTCTTAAAAACAACTGTATGTTTTCTTTACACCAATTGATTCCTCTCATTATTTTGTACATAAAAGTATGAAGGTAAAATAATCGAAAAATGAATGGTTTACTAGATATTTTATGGTTTATGTAAAATTAAGAAATTATTTCAAGCCTTATAACTCAAAAAGTACTTAATAAAAAGATACTTAATTATAGTGTTTTGGAAAGCTCTCGAGATAAGCTACAAGAATATGCAATGAAAAATAGGGGGTTCCATTTAAGAAATTGAAGGTAATCTTTATGTGACCTTCAAATGACTATCCAAGGTCAAATCTAAGGTCACCGTCGGATTGCCCGGGAAAAATCCTACAACTTTTGTCTAGGTCATTTTCCTCTGTGATGCGTATTTTTCAAATTATCCAGCCGTCCCGGAACTTTTGACACACGCTGTATATTCATCCGCTTGCATAACCGTAATATCGCTTCCCGTGTCAATAGTCGCATGAACCATAATATTATTAATCAACACGTCTTTCGTTTGCTTACGCTCCGATCGAACTATCGCGCAACTATTCATCATCGTCGCGTTCGTCTTTATCGGGCAATTTCGTGCGATGTGACCGTGCTTATTGCACTCGAAACACTTCTGACCCTGAGCCTTCGTCGGACATACCTGACTTATATGGTCCTTCTGACTTATATGCCGCAATTAAAGCAACGTTTTACAATGTTACGTTCTCCTTTTCCGCTCGCATTCCTCTCTTCAACCTTTGCACTTGCATTGTCCTAAGCGTATTTATCGTTCTTGAGTCTCACACCGCTCTTTTTCTCTTCTAATCTCGAACTATCAGTCACAGTAGTATGGTTTCTGTTACGCAGCGTGATTTCACTAAACGCTTGCAGCATCTCATCCTTCGTCATAAATTCTCGTACGCGAGCTAAGTCGCGAAGATTTGGATCTGGAATTCCGTCGATAATAAATCCTAGGATCTCGTCGTTTCCTATAGCAATGCGATTTGCCATAATTGTCTTCTCGTGTACATAATCGTGGAATGTTTCGCTCTTTTTCCACACTCGTTCTTCAAATCGATGCCTTAATGCGATTTTATCGGGCCGGTGATAAAACATACCCCTCAACTCGTCAAGAAGGTCGTCCGATCTCATGCCGATGTATTCTGGCTTAGAATGGAACCACTCCAGCGCTAGCCCCTTAAGCCTCGTGCCTATTAGAATCTTCGTCAAATCGTCGTCAAGCTTGTACGCGGCTCTTAGAAATTTTATTTGCTTCTCCCATGTTTCGAAAGTTTCCGAATCACCATTAAAATGACTCGGCCACAGCGGTTAGATTAACTTTCGACAGCACAGAAGCAGGCGTTGCCGCCACGTTCATTTGGCCATGATTCGCTGCTCCAAGTAGCATTGCTTGTTGTTCGATTAATGGGCGATTGTTCTGCATTTGCCGCAATAACTCGATTTTGCGTTTTGCCAACGCGAGCTCTCTCTCAGCCAACGCCTCGACGACCATCTCGATCTCTCGCTGCATTGTCTCTCGCCTCTCATCACCTTGAGGATCCCGTTACTCGTGTTTAGACGAATCGAATCACCTTCGCTGCCGTCACCATCAAGCGCCGCACGGTCTTCTTCTCTGCCATCATTCCGTTCCCCGTTAGCGCACTCAAATAACCGAGATGTCGATCCCGCTGCATTTTCATCATCGTCAGCCATTCCGACAAACCACGCACCGCTCGGATCAATACTGAAAAGTCTACTGATCAATTCGTGTTTATATCCCGCAGTACTAAGTTCCTTTTGCCTCAGAATCTCCTTAAGTCTGGCCACCGTAAAGGAATTCGGATCCCTTACCATCGGATTGGACATCGTCCTCTTCTTTATTTTACAAAACTGTCCACACGTCTCTTAACGTCGTTCACGCGTCCGCACTATATATCTCGTAATCGAAAGATTCAAATTCAACGTACCGACTTACTTCCCCACGTGTCACGTCTTTTCCGCGATATCACTCTATTTTTCGACCTTTAACTTATATACATAAACTTGTTTATTCGTTTCTGGGAGTTCTCGAATGTTCGGCTTCGTTAAAATCGTCGTTCGGCAAAATCGTCGTCTTCTTACATGTCGTTCAAACTTAAAATTCGCAAACTCCCGTCATACAAAATCGTCGTTTTTTTTTAAACATTCGTCACTTGTTGTCACTAATTGTTTGCTACAACTTAACGTTATCACAAAAGATTTTCTCAATGAAAACCATAATCTAATTATCACACAAACTGATAAAGGCAACATCACGGTTGCTCTTGATAAAGATGAATATATTCGGAAAACAGAAGAGTTACTCAAAGATAAGGAGACTTATGCTGTTGTAAATAAAAATCCTATCAATAAATTAATATCTAATTTACGAGAATTACTAAGTAGATGGAAAAATAATGAGTATATTACATCGTACCTCTCTTTGTCATTTAGTGAAGGTACTCTCTCGCGCGTTTGGGAGCGTCCCGTTTGGCCACGTTAATATTGACCACCGTCCCGATTGACCACGTTGCTATTGACCACGCCCCGCTTGACCACCGTCCCGATTGACCACCGTTCCGATTGACCACGGTCCCGATTGATCACCGTTCCGATTGACCACCGTCCCGATTGACCACCGTCCCGATTGACCACCGTTCTGATTGACCACAGTCCCGGTTGACCACCGTCCCGATTGACCACCGTTCCGATTGACCACGGTCCCGATTGACCACCGTCCCGAATTTCACATGGGTTTGCAACGGGATGGGGGTGGGGGCGGGGGATGGGGGGTGGGGGTGTGTGTGCAGCTGTGCGTGTACTTGCAATGCAAACTGGGACTTCACATAGGTTTATAAAACTGTGAGCAACTCAATCATATCTTATGTGAATATTTAAATTATTTTTTTAATTATTTTTTTATTATTATATTTATAACTAGTTATATTAATTTAATTATTTAATTTTTTTTGTGGTCAATCGGGACCGTGGTCAATCGGGACCGTGGTTAATCGGGACGGTGGTCAATCGGGACGGTGGTCAATCGGGACGGTGGTCAATCGGGACCGTGGTCAATCGGGACCGTGGTCAATCGGGGCCGTGGTCAATCGGGACCGTGGTCAATCGGGACGGTGTTCAATCGGGACCGTGGTCAATCGGGACCGTGGTCAATCGGGACCGTGGTCAATCGGGACAGTGGTCAATCGGAACGTGGTCAATCGGGACGGTGGTCAATCGAGACCGTGGTCAATCGGGACGGTGGTCAATCGGGACGGTGGTCAATATTAACGTGGCCAAACGGGTGCCACTCGCGCGCTTATAGTTTATCGAAAGTGAACAAATCGGGTTGCCCGTTCAGACTGATCGTATTATGCGTTAATACTCCCCTTTACCAGTTAGTAGTGTTTTTACACAAAATTATGATCAACGGCTTTCCTACGGCTAACAGCTATATTGAAAACAGTTTTGAATTAATTAACAGACTAAGGAACGTGCATCTAGAAGAAAATTACAAACTCATTTCTCTTGACGTTGTATCATTATTCACTAACATTCCTTTAGATTTTGCCATGGAAAGTGCTTCAAATAGATGGGACTATATTAAAGAATACACGGACCTTCCCAAACCAGAGTTTTACTGAGGGTGAGATTTGTACTAAATTCCACCTACTTTACATTTAATAGCACATATTATCGTCAATTATTTGGCACTCCGATGGGTTCTCCTCTGTCTCCAATTATAGCTAACATAGTGATGCAAAATTTAGAAAGTAGAGCCTTGAATACAATTAAATTTACACCACCATTCTACTTCAGATATGTTGACGATATTATCACCGCTTGTCCGTTCAATCTTGTCGACCACGTACTAACCATATTTAATTCATTTAACCCTAGACTACAGTTCACTATTGAAGTTGAAAATAATAAGACTCTGAGTTATTTGGAAATTACTAATATATCCGAAAATAATAGATTATATTTTAATTGGTACCATAAACCAACGTATTCCAGTAGATATCTGAATTTTCACTCACAACACCCTGAGTGCCAAAAAAGAAGCACAATTTTCAGTTTGGTTGACAGAGCCTACAGATTGTCGGGTCCTAAGATTCATCGTAATAACATAATAGATATTATCGAGATTTTACTTAATAATGGTTATCCTTTAAAATTTATATTTGATAACATTAATCAGAGACTTCGTCATCTGTTACATAATGATACCGCTAATAAACCTGAAATTGAAAAGGAAAATGTTTCATATTTTACAGTTCCTTTCATTCCATCCTTGACTAACAATATGAAAAACTTTATTAAAGACACGGATACCGTCTTGTCATACTTTAGCCTGAACAAACTTAGTACTATCATTAAGGTCCATAAAGACGTTATTCCAAAAGGCTCTCACACTAATGTCGTTTATAAGATTGAATGCGAGAAGTGTGACGCAACATATGTTGGACAAACAGGCAGAAAATTAAGTACTAGGATAAATGAACACAAGAAGAATATTAATAAAAATATAACGAATAGGTTTGTCATCACAGAACATGGATTGAATTTTAATCACGATTTTAAATGGGATGACGTGAAGATTTTAGACAGAGAAACCTTTTATTACAAAATACTAATTTCTGAAATGATTTACATTAAACGACAACGTAACGGCTTAAATTCACAAACAGACACAGAATGCTTTCCTGACATATACAATAATTTAATAAATAAACTTCCTGATGCTTAAGGTCATACATAGAAAAATTTATACTAGTATAATGAACGTTATTCTGTCATTTATATTCGTACCTTCGGAGAAGGAAGTAACATATAGCTTTTTAATAGATTATTAAATTGTTAATCATATACAGTTTTATAAAGTTTTCAAAACACATATAAATGACATATAAATTAATCGGATTCATCATGATATTGAAAGTTACTCTTATCTCACTGGACTTATTTATTTTAAAAAATGTTTTAATGTTCATTTGATGTAAATTACTAATGAGTGTAATAACTTCTTATTTTTGATTTTAATTATTTTTAATTTTAATAATTTCTATTCTGTTCATTATTTAATGTTTCTTTTCAAATGTAATTATTTCGAATCTATGGTTGACAATTACATTACTTATTTTTATAGTCCGGCTATTGATCTGCGGTTTGACAAACGTCCATTAGAACCACACAAAATTTAGGCCTATTAACCTAAACTTGTAAGGTCCGTTTCATCCTTGTATATAACCGTAAGATGATATCCCTACTGTTTTACTGCGATTTGACATTCATTATATATGTATGTTTACTGCGTACAGCATCTGCTTACTTTCCGAGAATTAACATGCGCTGAAGATGACTTAAATATAAGTCGAAACGTCCGCTCTTAAATTGTCTAAACATTTATGTATTATTAAATTTGAAGTTTCAACCTATTAATGTTTACTATTAATTTCTTTAACGATGAATGATATTTAATTTGTATAATTCGCGACTAATAATGATCTTCAGCTCTCTATGCCTGTCTTAATCAATTTATTTTATTCGTCACTTGACCGTTTCACTTCAAAATGTCGTATTTTTTATTGTGTCCACTCACTACTCGAATGATTCCGTCGGATCCCAGCTGAGCCCCTAGAAAATATGTAGGATGTTGTAATATATTTTAAATAAAATTATAGGATTCAGTGACGGAGAACACTTGGGTAAATGATACTGCCGTTTATTAATTAAAATTATGAAAAGGTACATCAAAAGAAAATGATCGGAAACGTTATCACTGTTACAATCGTCATTAATTTCGAGGCGAATGTATTGCTCGACGTCTGTGCGGCAATAACTCAAGCGGTCGAAAAACAAATATAAATATAAAAGGACTCGCGACAATACGCCAATTTTTATATTCTGCATTAACAATATTAAAGCCACATTGATGATGAACCATTTTTTAGACCATCCGCTTATGTATATAGACAAATTTATAATATAAATAAATTTTATTTTATTTTATTTCTTCTCTCTCTCTCTCTCTCTTCCTCTCTCTATTATTATCTTTCCAATATTATTACATTTTAATCACTGATCGTTCACCGCTGTCACCTCCCCATTGCTGTCGTTACTTATTGCAATATAATGACAAATATTTTTACATAAGTTTGTCAAATTAATCCCCACCGTCACAATCACATCATGGTTTTATCACAATCCATTATAGAAAATAAAATATAATATAAAATATTCTAGTTTGTTACTAAATATTAAACATTATATATATTAATAGTTACATGTTTCATAACTCTCGGCGGAAACTGTAACCGCTAGAAAGCGTGTTGCCGGATGTCAGATTGGGGAATGCTCGATAGTATCTAAGTATTGTAGGGTAGAAAGAAAATAAAATACTTCCCGTGGACCAACAATTTAAAGGAGCAATGGAAGAAACGTACAGAATGAGTGCCCCAGATAGCAAATTGAGCAAGAGCTCAGAAAATTCATCCTCCTCGGAGGCAAGCCCCATGGATTCTGGGGAGAAAGGCGAATCATTAAAACATATCTGAACAAGACGGATATGCGTTGGAAGAAGATCAGTTAGTTACTAAAAACGAGCACATCCTGTATAAGATGCTAATGTTAAAGAGAACAGAGATAAGGAGTCTAATATGAAAAATAGCACTGATGGAAGAGCGTATCAAAGAATTGGAGCGAAGAGAAGATGGCTCAAAAATGACAGCAGGAAAAGAGGAAAATGAAATAAGGATCAAATATGTAACAGATGAAGAAGAATTAGAAAAGGGACAAACTAGACCATTAAAAAAAAAACATCAGAAAGAGAAAAATGTATAAATCACCGGATGTCTCCCCGGTGCAGCAGATGCAAACAAGTCAAATGAAAGAAAAACAAGGAAAAACTAGTCAGCCGAAGACAAAAAAAGATCTACGAAATTAACGAAATCTTGAGGATAAAAGTTAAACTAAAAGCACTAAGAAAATTAAAACTTGTTCCGCAATGCAAAATCTGCCAGGAATATGGCCACACACAAAATTACTGCAAAAAAGAGTCTAGGTGTGTAAAATGTGCAGGAATGCATCATACTAAGGAATGCAGGAAAAGCAATGAAAAGCACTTAAATGTATGAATTGTGGAGACCCGCACCCTGCGAATTACAGATGTTGTACGGTCGCAAAAGAACTCCAAAAAATTAGTAATAATGTTCACAAAAAAAAAAGAAGGTAAACAAATCGATAAGAGCACAAAACGAGGAAAATAAAACAGAGTCTTATGATATAATGAGGGAGGATAGATGCTCAAGTCATCAAAAATGAAAGGGAACAAAATTACAATACTTAATTAATCAAATGATATTAACATGATTTAACATTTATGTCTAAAATAGAAGATCAAAACAAAAAAATATGAAAGCCTCAAAAATATATAATTCTTAAGAGGCTTTCTAAACTAGAAGACAGCAACAAGCCAATTAAGGCCAGGAAGAAATAATTTTACTAAAGATATTCAATAGGCAGTTTGGAATAATACACCGGAGATTAAGAGGAAATCCACTGATAACATTTATTCAAAGGAAATTAGGGAACATGTTGCTGAAAAAAGAAAAGCCAGGAAAAAATGGCAGTATTCTAGCGGCCGTGAGGATAAAAATAGGTATAACTATCTAGCGTAGCAATTAAAGAGGAAATTGCAAAAAATCAAGAATGAAATCATCAACTCTTATCTTAAAGCTGTGACTGCTGATCAATATATCGATTACAAATTATGGAAAAGCATTAAACGATTAAAAAGACCAATAAATGAAATATCACCAATACAGACAGAAAATGGTGAATGGGCGAAAAATAATGAAGAAAAAGCAAAAGTATTTGCAGAATATTTGGAAGGTATCTTTAACCCAAATAATACGGAGGAACAATTGGATGATAAGAAAGGAGAAGAGATGGAGAGGAGGGAGTCTCAGGGATTCGAGAAGACTAAAGAAATAAGACTGGTCACTTTCATAGAAATGGCTAAAGAAATTAAAATAAATATTAAATCCAAGAAGGTGTGAACCAGGTGTGACTTCTTTGACCTTATCACAGGAAAAGTACTCAACCAACTCCCTCGAAAAGATATAGTAAAAATGACAAAATTTATTAATGCCTCGTTTAGGTTAAGATATGTTCCCAAATTGTGGCAAATTGCAAAGGTAATTATGATTCTTTAACCGGGCAAGCCATCAAACGAAATTAAGTCATACAGACCTATATCATTATTGCCAATAGTGTCAAAAGTATTTGAAAAGTTAATATTCAAACGAATAAAATCACTAATTGTTGACGAAGAAATTATTCCAGTGCGTCCATTTGGTTTTCGTGATGAACATTCAACAATTGACCAAGTGCATGGAATAACTGACATTATTAAAAAGCTTTCGAAGAAAAATCTGTTTAGCAGTTTTCTTAGATATAGTCCAAGCATTTGATAAAGTTTGGCACGAAGGACTTTTAAACTTGCAAACTTAAGGAAATCTTACCAACGCAGTATTAGCAACTGTTAAACCTTATATTGTATTAAACCTTATATTAAAGGAAGACACTTTAGAATTAAGCAAGACGAAATTTATTCAGAATTGAAAGAGATTAAAGTTGGAGTGTCACAGGGAAGTGTATTAGACCCAGTTCTGTGCCTGCATTTTACGAGGAATGTGCTCAAAACAAGAAACACGGTTATTGCTACGTTTGCAGACGATATGACTATTTTGTCTGTTGGTAACAACATAGGTGAAGCTACAAGTAGACTACGAATAGCTGTAAATAAGATTAGTGACTGTGCAAAGCGATGGCGAATCAAATTAAACGAAAGTAAATCTGTTCAAGTTAATTATATCAACAGAAAAATAAAATATCTACAAATCAAATTAAATAAAGCTAAAATCCCTCATGCCAATATGGCAAAATATTTAGGAATGAATCTTGACGCGAAATTGCAATGGAAGGAACATATCGAAAAGAAAGTAGAAGAACTTAGATTTAAATACAGGAAAATGTATTGGTTAGAAACTCGCAACTGTCAGTACATAATAAACTTTATGCTATATAAGCAGATACTGAAACCAATATGGACATACGGTATTCAATTGTGGAGTTGCACTAAACCGAGTAATCTAAAAAGAAATCTAAAAAGAATTCAAACATTTCAAAACAAAGTTCTCAGAAACATCGTTAATGTCCCCGGTATATTCGTAATGACGATCTTTATAGGGATTCTAGGAGAAACAGTCGCTGCAGAGATTAAGAGATTTGCACGAAAACATAAGGAAAAACTGCAGGATCATCTTAAGGAAGCTCTACAGCTTCTAGATAAAAAAAGAATCGGGAACTAGAAGACTCAAAAGGACAAAAGCTCTCAAACTGGTTCAACTTCAAGAGAAATGAACATTTATTACACTATAAGATATTCTCAATGAAGAAATCTTAAATTATGAATACATAACAATTTAGGTTAAAAATGTAATGTTATTAGTCTTGTAGAATAGGTACATTTTTAAATGCCGTAGCATTGAATTATAATAAAAAAAATGTTTTGTAAAATTTAATTATAAAAATATCTTTAATATATTCCAAAAGAGTAAACGAAAAACCTTTATCAGTGTAACAAAATAAAGTTAAATATAAACAAATATATACAGAGTGTTTGAAAACATTTCGCGGTCCCGAAATGTAAAGATAGATTGGCTCAAATTAAGAAAGAAGATTCTC